TTTGAGTGCCATTGCCAGGTGCCAAAAGTGCAAGAGTCGAATCGGTGCCCCGGGGTGTGGCGTGGGGGGGGGGGCAGATAGCGGAAGGGGGATTGTAGTAGACAATGATAAAAATGCTAGTGCGAGTAATGATGATGATAATAAAGAAAATGGAAAGCTAGGCATGAATGGCGAGAGGAAATAGGTGGATATAATGAACGAATAATGCGCATGAGAATCATGTAAATGGCAAGGTGAGGGAAAGAAAGGAGTGGGAGAGGGAGAAGAACGTGCAGGGGAGGAAGGAGGGGCATAGGGAGATGGAAGTAAGGGGGGAAAAAGGGAAGAAGGAGCAGAATGAGGAAAAGGAGGAGGTGGTGGCGGTGGAGGAGTGGAGGCGGAGAAAGAATGGAGGTAGAGGAGGAGGAGAAGGAGGAATAAAACATGGGGGAAGAAGAGGAAATGGATGAGATGGAAGGAGAAAACGAAGAAGTGATGATGGCGAGGTGGTGGTGTGATGAGGACGAGACGAAGAAAAGAGGATTAAAAGTGGTGGATGGTGGAGGCACAAACACACGAACATAACTATTTATTACTACTGTTTATTTGAACAAGAGGAAATGATTTGGTTAAACATCTCATCCTTTCAAAACCAACAAAAAGGAAAAAATAGAAATCAGTTCCAGCTACCTCGAAATTCAAATTCAAAAAAATCGAAACCGTTAGAAAATAACCGCCATTGAACCCCCGCGGTCACCAACCCCGCGTCTGTATAAACAAAGGCGATGAACACTCCCTTCGAAAAAAGGACCAATTCCACTAACTTATTTTTAATGGAATCTTCTTTATCTAAGACGATCGCGAACTTTAAAAAAAAGGTCACACGAAACGGCGGCTTCGGCGCAACTCCTTTGCAAAGTTCGGATTACACAGGAATTCGTCTACAGACACTTCAGGTAGACTTTAATCACAGAACTTCAAAGGCTCTCAAGTTTGACGTTTGAAGTTCGGGAATCTGAAGTAAAGGGAGGGGGGGGGGGCGTTGGGGAGAGATCTGGGGAGGGGGGGCACTGTATTGTACGCAGTGGGAGTTTATTACACAACGGACGCAAGAATGGGGAACGGGGGGGGGGATCTGATAGGGCACATGGGGGGGGGGGATGAACACGACTGAAGATAGTTTTTTTTCTCGAGGAATTTCCAGGTGTTGTAGTGAGCTGGAAGGACGGGCGGCCGTGGCCAATCGTACGCGTCGCCGAGACAGTGAATGAACAAACCGTCATTTATTCTGGTCTCAATCGTCTGTTACACATTTTCTTTTTTTAATTTGGGTTTTTAATTAAGCAAACTACCATTCTATTGGGTTCTACACTACGTTTGTTGGTGTTAAAAATCAAGAGAAGGGGAAGACTACGCTAAATGCCAGAAGAATTCGCATGCACATGTTAACTTTTAAACATCTACACTTTTAGCATTAATGAAGCGTACAGGAATTAAAATATCAACAATATAAACATACTTAAACTTAATAGTTAATACCAATATCATGAAGAAATCAAAGGAGAAAAGTCATCATGCAAACATCCTTAAACTAAACATGTACAAAATAACATTAATTATTATTTTTCTCTCTTCCTTTCCCTTCGAGATCCACTAATTCAAACTACTTTTACATTCTTTTTCTCTTCTATTCTTTTTCTTTTTTTTTCTTTTACGAATAACGAAGGACCTGCACAAAATACCACCTAGAGACCATGAAAGGGCGGAACCACAAAAGACCCCAAGGGCGAAATTCCCGTTGCGATACACGAGAAATCTGAACCATCTGGACCCGTAGTCGATGAAGCCTTGCCCTTGCCCGATCTCCGGGTCAACGGCGCAAGAAATCGATAAACTTTTCGGGTCTCTTGACTTTGTGGGGTGAAAACATTAATGGCCACTTGTCATGTGAAAGGCTACCTACGCGCCGTGGAGGAGGGGGGGGGAGAAGGAGGGGGAGGAGGAGGAGGGAGAGAGGGAGAAGGAAGAGGAGCTGGAGACGGGGTAGGAGGGGAAGTGGGAGACGGGGTGGAGGGATGCTGGTAGGGGTAGGAGGGGCAGGAGAGGGTGTAAGATGGGGAGGGGAAGGAGGGAGAGCGGGGAGAAGGTACAGGAGGAGGAGAGGACAGGATAAGAGAGATAGAAAAGAAGGAGGGAGATAAGAGAAGAGGATAGGAGAGGACAGGGAGGGAGAAGGGCTGGGGAGGGGGAAGGGAAGGAGAGAAGGAGGGAAGGAGGAGCAAAGGGAAGGAAAGGAAAGGAAGAAGGAGAAGACAGGAGAGAGTAGAGGAGAAGAGAAGAGAAGAGAGAATCAAGAGAATATTAGGATGACAAAGAGACGGGAAAAAAAGAGAAAGGTGAAAACAAAAAGAGGAGTAAGAAAACCCCAAAATAGAGAGAGAAAGAAAAAGAAGAGAAACGAGAAAAGACAACAAAACAAGAGACAGAGAGAGCGAGAAAGAGAACCCCGAACTGCGTGAAGTGAGCTGCGGATGGAGATGGAATGCGGGGTCGGTCGGACACCGCCACCGTCGGGTCATTAATCCCGGCCGAAAGAAGAATTATCAGACTATAGCGATGTAAAAAAGAGGTCGGGAAACAGGAGAAAATAAATAAAAAGAACTCTAAACTTCTTCTGAAAGACACGTGGGTAGAAGGGGGTAGGGGGTAGGGGTAGGGGTAGGGAGGGGTAGGGTATGGGTGAGAGAGGGTGAGAAGGAGAGAAGGGTGGAATGAGAGGGGGAGGGTAGAAGAAGAAGCAGGGAAGGTGGGATGAGCAAGAAGGTCGGATTAGGAGCAAGAGAGTCGAGGTTCACGGATACTGGGGGAGGGAGGGGAGGAGATAGGAGAGAGGGATGGGGGGAGAATAGGAGAGAGGATGGGGTGGGGGTGGGGGGGGGGGTTCCCGAGTAGAGAAGACCGACGCTCGTAACATTCAATGAAGACGCGACCGAGAGAAGGCCGAGGCCTCCTCCGCTGAGGGCGAGACTGAACTTCACGCATGAGTAATGACGGTCGCCGCTTCTACCTTGGCTGACCTTTTCTTCTCTCTGCCCTCGACGCCCCCTCCGCCCCGCCCCCCTCCCCTTCATCTCTTTCTTTTTTCTTTCTTCTCTTCTCTCTCTCTCTCTCTCTCTCTTCTCTCTCTCTCTCTCTCTCTCTCTCTCTCTCTCTCTCTCTCTTCTCTCTCTCTCTCTCTCTCCCCCTTCCCCCCCCCCCCGCTCCTATCTCTCTCTCTCTCTCTCCTCTCTCTCTCTCTCTCTCTCTCTCTCTCTCTCTCTCTCTCTCTCTCTCTCTCTCTCTCTCTCTCTCTCTCTCTCTCTCTCTCTCTCCCTTCGCCCCTTCCGCCCCTCCCCCTCTCTCTCTCTCTCTCTCTCTCTCTCTCTCTCTCTCTCTCTCTCTCTCTCTCTCTCTCTCTCTCTCTCTCTCTCTCTACATATACGTTGATGTCTTTATTTCAATGTCTCAAAGGGTACACATATTTTTATCTTGCTATTGGCCAATCTTTTTCTGCACGTTATGAACGGAGAGCTAGCACCCACAGAGGCAAATCAAATATGTGTTAGTTGATTTTATCTTCATGTCCTTTGCATTGCGTTCTATTCTTATCCCGCCGCCGACGCGATATAAAAATAAAGGCTTAGCAGAAAGGAGAGGGTAAGAGACGAGAGATGATACACATGCGTCTCCCACACTCCCTTTCCCTCATCTGTCGTCCCTCTCCCTCTCCCTTCATCTCTCTCGTCCCTCTCCTCCCCTCCCTCTCCCTCTCCCTCATCTGTCCATCTCCCTCTCCCTCTCTGTCGTCCCACTCCTCCCTCCCTCTCCCCAGCGCCCTTACCTTGAGATTGACGATGTCCCTCTTCTCTCCGTAGGGCCCCGTGAAGATGTCGTGGGTGATCGTGCCCGCCTTCTGCCTCCGCGCCCGCCACACGATCAGCAGGATGGCCGACACCAGCAGGATGATCACCGCGATGAGGACGCCGATCACCAGGGCCACGTACTCCTGCCCGCGAGGCTCCTCGGACACGTCCGTCACCACTGCGGGCGGAGGGCGATGCAGGGTGAGGCGGAGGGGAAATGTTGTGAAATAAAGGAAACACACACACACACACACACACACACACACATATATATATATATATATATATATATATATATAATACATACATATATATACATACATACATACATACATACATACATAACATACATACATAATACATCATCATCATCATATATATATAATATATATATATATATATTATATATATATATACATTACATACATAATACATACATCATACATACATTACATACATACATACATACATACATACACACATACACACACACACACACCACACACACACACACACACACACACACACACACACACACACACACACACACACACACACACACACACACACACACACACACACACACACACAAAAGAAATGTAGATAATAAACTATGAAAAAGTACGAGTAAATGATAAACAAGATGAAACAGAAGCATAAACGATTTATGTATAAAAGGTAAATAAAAGACGTATCAAATGAGCGAATGGTATACGAAATAGATAATAGATAAGTGACAAGTGAAATAAAAATGGATAAATTAGTAGATCAACATAAAACCACCATATAACAACAAATAATAATAATAATAACAATAAACAATAATGAATAGTAATAAATAGATAATTGAAATAAATATGGCAGGGAGGTATGAAGGATTGAACTATTCACATTGATTATCCTTCTTCTGCTTGCGTGGTGTTTATAATAGCTACCTGTCTATCTGTCACACTTATATGTTTATAAATTTATCTACCCTCTCTATTCATGTGTTTGTCTTTTCATTTATGCGTTTATTCACTTCTTTAGTCAGTCATTTATGCATCTTTAAGTGACATAAGAAGTGAGTGGAAGGAGAAAAACGAATGAAGTCGAGCGACATAAAAATGTTTAAAAAGAAAACGTAAAAAGAAGAAACAGAAAGAACAAAATGAAGCCAAACCTCAAAACGAAAAAGCAGAGAAAAACAAAGCAGTCAGAGAAAGAAAGAAAAAAAAATGAAAAAAATGCAGAAAAAAATGCAGAAAATAAAGAAATAAATGCAGAAAAAAAGAAGAAAAAAAAAAAAACGAAAATAAATAAACTCAGAAAAAGGCGGATCTGCGGGGCGGACTGACCAAGATTCCGATGGTTCTTGTCGCCGAGGGCAGCGCCGTCGTGCATGTAGCCCGAGGAGGAGTCGTGGTGGGGGGCGCCGCCGGCCTCGGGGGGGAGCTCCTCCGTCTCAGTCAGCTCGCTGAAGTTCCCTCGGCTGGGCCTGGGTGGGGGGAAGGGGGGGCAGAAGAGGAGGAGGAGGAGAAATGCGAGGGTGGGGAGGCGAAGGTGGAGAGGAAGATAAGGTAGGGGAAAGAGTAGAAAGAGGAGGAAGAGGGGGATGGGGAAAGGAAAGGGAAGTGGGATGGAAGAGGGATGGAGAGTAAAAAGTGATTAAAAAGGAGAAGAAATAAGACGAGAAAAGGGAGGAAGAAAAGAACGTTAAAAGCGGGATGGAATAAAAGGGAGAATGGTCAATAAGACGAGTGAAAAGGAGGTGGAACAAGAGTAGGAGAAAAGAGGGAGATGAGGGATAAATGGGATGAGGATTAGTAGAAGTAAGTGGAGGAGGATGAGCGGAGAAAAGAGGGAGGAGGAGGAAGCAAGGGAAAAAGGGAAGAATGGAAGATCAAGCAGAATGAGGGGGAAAAGAGACATTTTTAGTCAAGCTTTACGTGATGCTTTAGAGGGACTTCATCAAAATGAATCACATATCTATATTCAACGAAATACAGTATCCGCTGATACATACGAAGGCAAATTAATCAAATATAAATCCAGTTAAGAGTAAATAACACATGTACAATAAACATAAAATACATATAAATGAACTAAGAATAGAACTTCCCATTCCCCTCCCATTTATCCATCACAACAATACTAAAGAAAAACCCAAGCTAGGTCCCACGCCCGCCCGCCACGCCGCCCGCCCCGCGCCCGCCCCCGCCCGCCCCCGCCCGCCCCGCCCGCCCCCGCCCGCACGGTCGCATCTGCTACACAAAGCCTCACCAAAAATGAGATTCATCATTTCCTCAGATATGATCGCACGGGCTTCCATTACCACCGGAACTTTCATTAGTCGCTGGCACTCATCATATCCTGGCACTGCCCTGCTTGGCGGCACTGTTTTGTCTCCCTTTTTTCTCCTTTCTTTTTTGTTCTACAGTTCTTTTGAAATGTCTCATTTGGACGAGACTACAGTCAATTCTCTCCATTTTACCTTTCTTGTTTGTTTTTATCTTTCTTTTGTGAGTATCTTGTCGTTACTGTTTTCGTCATTGTTATCATTCTACTTCTTCCTTCCGTCTGCTTTTTACTCTTTTTCTTTTCCTTCTTCTGCCTCTTCTTTCTTCACCCTCTCCTCTTGCCTGACTCTTTTTTCTCATCTTCCTCCTCCTCACCTCCCCCCTCTCTTTTCCCCTCCGCTCCTTCTCTTTCCTCTCGTACTTCGTAGATTCCCCATCTGTTTCCCTACCCCCCCCCCCCACCCCCCCACCCCCCATCACCCACCCACCCACTCCCATCTCCCCGACCTCAACTTTCCAGCCTTCGGTACAACAACCGCTCGCCTCCACTTTTTTAAAAATTGATAGCTCCTTTCTCTTCCTTTAGGCACAGCTCAATTACCGCCGGGCTTTTTAAACTTTGGCACTGTTGACTTATTAACACGCCCTGGCACTAGGCACTCGGTGGCATTATGACCTTAAGAACTCGGAGGTCGAGTCCGCCCGTCACGGCCCGTCCCGCTCCTTGTGCTTGAAGTGGATGGAGGTTTCAGCGACTCTTCCCTCTCTGTCTGTTTCGCTTTGTCTGTCTGTCTGTCTGCTTGTATGTATGTCTGTCGATCAGTCTGTCTGTCTGTCTGATTGTGTCTGTATGTCTGTCTGTCTCTTTTTCTCTCTCTCACTCGCACTCTCTCTCTCTTTTCCTCCCTCTCTCTCTCTCTCTCTCTCTCTTCCTCTCTCTTTCACTTTTCCTCTCCCTCTTTCTTACTCTTCCTCTCCCTCCCCCTCCCTACTTTCTCTCTCCTCCCTCTCCTCTCTCCTCTCTCCTCTCCTCTCTCTCTCTCTCTCTCTCTCTCGATAAATAGATAGATAGACAGTTTGGCTCTGTCTCTTTCGCTTTGTCTATCTGTTTGTCTGGCCGTCTAACTCCGTCTGTCTGTCTGTCTGTTTGACTCTCTAGATAGATAGATATTTATACAGACATACACAGAGAGAGTAGACTGAATGGTGGCGGGCGATAGATGCCTAAAGGGAGAGATAGAGTACAGCAGGGCTAGAGGAAACGAGGGAGGGGGAGGGCCGAGGGGGGCACCCTTAGGGCCAGAAGGGTGGCACCGGCTTGTGCTGATGTGTGGCGGTGATGCCTGGAGACTGCACCAGCCAGCCTTTATTGCCCACTCTCATAACCATAATGTGGTACCCCCTATACCCTCGGCCACGGTAAATCCAGCCTTATCTTCACCTGACGGAAGGATCACATTTTAAGATTCGTCCGGATGAATCTTGTAGCGCCGTGTTGCTGAAAATAAATTCAAGCGGGGGGGGGGGGGGGGGAGGGAGGGGGGGGTGGGGGGCGGTATGGGGGCAGTGTGGGCGGAGATTTATTCGGGCGTGTTGTGGTCTTTGGAAACCCGTGACCGACGAAGGTTCATTTGGGGCATGGGGGCGGGGTATTGGGTGGTACTTAAGGGTCACTATATATTTTTTCTGAAGCTTCCCCTCAGAGGTAAACTCAGATGGCTTCTTTGAGAGGGGAGAGGCAGGATGTTCTTTTAAGCTTTCGATAATCGAATAAATAAAAAATAGGCCTTTAAAAATTGCTAAGAAAATAATCGTAACAGTGCCTATGATAATGGCAGAACTTGTAGGAAATGAGCAATGGCAACAATTGACTTTCAACACCATACCATGGTGTACTACCGTTTTTTTATACATAAATAGATAAATAGACACTGACCTCAATAGGAGCATGGCATGATTTGTTTTATTTCCTCAATTATTTGCATTTTTTTATTTCACATTTAACGTGTTTTGTACCATGGGCGTCATCCTTATTACAGACTGATCGGATTTTGTCGATGCTCAACGAGCGGCTTGCGGCCAGCTCGTTCGCACGGGAAGGGGGGGGGGTCAAATCTATCACGAAAAGCTGGTCAACCGGGCTTCGTGAAAAGCCGTTGGGGCTTGTTTAATATATACAGTAAATACATGTGAAAATAATGTAATGAAACCGTTTCTTAATTTGCTCTCTTGCAGCAGACACCCCCTGCACAGAATCATTACAGCATGTAATAATTTTCATATCAATTTGGATGCACCAAACATCAGCATGAAATAGGGTTTACATGCGCGTGGGGTGGCTAAGCACGAGTGTCTTGATCAGTATGCAAATGTGTGTGAAGCGAGGTCATCTCGGCTGACCTCTTGTGACCTTTGACATTCTGGTGGCTGACTGATGACCTCGCTTGCTAGCACAGGGCACTTCATTCAACAAACAAGGGGTTAAAACAGGAGATGGGGTCTGGGGAAGGAGGCGAAGGAAACAGGCAGGATCCTAGGGGAGGAGGCGAGACACGGGGTCCAGTGAAGGAAAGATAAGGTTCAGGAGGGGAGGGGAGGAGGGTGGGGGTCAAGGAGGGGGAGGAGGGGAGAAGTCCTAGGAGGGAAGAAGATAGGATTCATCGAAAGAAGATGGGGCTTGGAGGGGGGGGGGGGGGTCCAGGATGAGGGGGAGGGCCTACGTCTGCGGGACAAAGAGTCCTCTAAGAATAATGTGAGAGAAGGGAGAATAAGAAGAGCGAGAAGGATGTTTAACATCGAATAAAAGCGTTAGCCAAAGCAAAATCAGAATGGAGACAGAGGGCAAAGAAGAATAAAGCTAAGAAACAAAGCGAAAAGAAAACTAAAAAGAGGCATAGAACCGCAAGACAGAGAAAGAGAAGAATGAATCTGAGAATCACAACAAGAGGAAAATTTAAAAAGGGAGACGAGATACAAGCAGACTAAAGCTGGGAAACCGACAGAAAATCAAAGAAAACCAAACAATGAGAGACGTAGATGAATTATAACGAAGAAGCGAAGCGATGGCACGTGGACCAATAATAATAATGCGAGGGCAAAAAAGGGAGGGGAGAAAAACGAGGGGATGTAACATACGGGAAGGGGAAGTTAATGATGCGGAGGGAGGCTAGATGGAGGCGGAGAAAGGGGGGGAGGGGGGGAGGGTCCACCGATTAGATGGGTTAGGGATTAAGAAAAAAATGTGTGTGCGTGTGTGTGCGTTTACGGGCAGGTGTATGTGTATGTGTGTCTGTATCCGTGTATATATATATATATATATATATATATATATATATATATATATATATATTATATAATGATGTGTGTGTGTGTGTGTGTGTGGTGTGTGTGTGTGTGTGTGTGTGTGTGTGTGTGTGTGTGTGTGTGTGTGTGTGTGTGTGTGTGTGTGTGTGTGTGTGTGTGTGTGTGTGTGTGTGTGTGTGTGTGTGTGTGTGTGTGTGTGTGTGTTGCGTGTGCGTGCGTGTGCGCGTGTGCGTGTGCGTGTGCGTGTGCGTGTGCATCAAAATCGACAACTGTTGCATCTCCTTACCCCTACACTTGCCAGTCTTCCCCCAAGTAATAAAACGGACAGCCATAAATAACGGCCGCAACGCCCCGACGGATAATTCACTGCAAATCACTTGTTCTCACGCCGCCGCCGCTCCGCCTGCCTCGCCTCCCGGACACGCAGACACGGCCTTCATGAAGCCTCAAGCCATGTCCTTTTAACCCGTCGAAGATGTGAGGCAAACCCGTCTCCTTCTTTTTGCCATTTCCTCGTTTACTAGCCTACTTCATTTT